ATCATACTGGGTGTATGGTCGGCTGTGTGCGATTTTGCGAGTGTGGTAAAATCGCATAACAGCCGAGCATACACCCAGCAGCGCTGCTGATGCCTGAACGGTATGTGGAATGAAGTGGGCGGGCATCGGGAGGCCACTATGGCACGGGGCAAGCACTATGGGCAGTCTATCTGAAGTGTACCTGGCGTATAACACGACCCCCCACTTGGAGGCATATTTTTCAGGGCCAAAAAATCGTCTTATACGCTGGCAAATACGGTATTCATATGGAGAGTTTTGAAATTAGTGCCTTGTTAACAGCAGGTCATTAGAATTACAGAAATTTTAACATAGGAAACTCTGTTCTCTACTTAACAGAACATTTTTTTACTTGGCTTGCAGAATTGTCTCCATTTAAAAAAAATTCTCAGTGGGCTCTGAACAAAATAGTTTTGCTGCTACAACAAATTTTGAGTGATTTGCCCATATGTTTTAATATTCTGCTTCCCTTCCTGTTTGGATTTTGAGTAAGCCTATTGGAAAACATATTGACAAGTAAATAAAAATAAGTTGAGCAAAAGAAAGAAAAGGCAAAGACCAATTTGTAGGGAAGAACTTGTCTTTATTTTTTGTTGTTTTTTCAAGAATGGATCCAAGTTTAATTAGTTGAACTAATAGGTGCTTGAATAGATGCTGGAAGATAAAGAGAGTAAGTGGGTTTAGAAAAGCTTTCTTGAAAGGTGCTTTTTCCTTTAAAGCCATCTTTATCCCACTTTGTCCTACTTAAATCTTTTCTAAAATGACATAAAGCAGGGATTTCAACTTAATGTGGAAACACATTCCAGTTCTTAAAAATGCCAACATCACCACCACCCTCAGAAGGTAGTGGTAAGCCATCCATCACTCACTGCTTCCAAGAAGCCCTTAGTTGTTGGGGTTTTGTTTATTCATTGGATCAAGTAGCTTCTTTCATTGACTAAACCAAGATTTTCTGATGGTGCAGAATAGAATTAACACATTGGTAGTAACCCTGAGTCTTTGGTAGACAACAGTTAAAGTAGTGTTTTATACTTTCTCTCCTAACAGTTAATCATCTGTTCTCTTTTACAAGTGAGTTTCACAGTCAACGTTTGAAACTAGAGAACCAAGTAAACAATACTAGTATTTTTGAGATATTTAAGAGTGTAAATTTGGACTATTAAGAGGAAATGCTTACTTTCAAACTGATTAAATTTTCTTACATTTTAAGGAATAAACTAGCATATTTAGATATACTACACTTAGATTATGTTTTCTGCCTACGTTTTAGTACTCGTTTTTTTTATCCAATAGACTTCTTTCACCAGAAGTGGTGAATGTGATAATTAAAGTAGTACTTTAAAATTTTCAAAGAATTATCTTGCAGCTCACTCATTCAACAAATATTACCCTTGTTTTCATTCTATAGGGAGGAAATTGATCAGGCTGACATAAGTCATTGGGCTAGAAGTAGAACTCAGGATTGCCCGTTGATTCTGAAAAGATTACTGCCTTTCCCATAGAGTATTTTATATCATCATTCTTAGAATAATTAACCCAGTTTTACTTATTACTTTGTCTTTCTTAAAACATTATATCTTTTATATGGCCTCACAGCTATATTAACAAATTTATTTCCCTTTTTCTATGTTTTAGGGCAGGGCTCTACTCCATTGGGCATGTGATCGAGGACATAAGGAACTAGTCACAGTCTTGCTACAATACAGAGCTGATATTAACTCTCAGGTAAGAGTGATTGATGAAGGGGGGAGCTTGTTTAAAAAATTGAGGTCAAATCCACTTAACATAAAATTTATGATTAACTATTGTACAGTGTACAGTTCAGTGGCATTAGTTAATTTAACAGTGTTATAAAACCATCACTACTCTCTTATTCCACATTTTCATCACCCAAAAGGAAACCTTGTGCCCATTAAACAGTCACTACCTACATCCCATCAGTGTATTTCTGGGCTGTTCAGTACCATTGCTCTGTTTTTCTGTTCATGTACTTGTGCTGTGCTTTTTAAAGTATTATAGCTTCGAAATATGTTTTCATATCTTTTAGGATAAATTCCTTCCCTACTTGTTCAGAATTTTTCCTGGTATGTTTGCTTTATTTTCCTGTGAACTATGAAATCATTTTTCAAACCCTTGCTTCTTTCCCCAAGCAACACCACTATCACTAAGTTTTAAAAAACATGAAAAATAGCCGAAACCGGTTTGGCTCAGTGGATAGAGCGTCGGCTTGCGGACTGAAAGGTCCCAGGTTCGATTCCGATCAAGGGCATGTACCTGGGTTGCGGGCACATCCCCAGTGGGAGATGTGCAGGAGGCAGCTGATCGATGTTCCTCTCTCATCGATGTTTCTAACTCTCTATCTCTCTCCCTTCCTCTCTGTAAAAAATCAATAAAATATATTTTTTAAAAAAAACATGAAAAAAAAATAATTGGTGCACTCATGTCTTTTATTTGGTTTGGATTGTTAGGGTATATTTTTAAAATTATTTTCGTTTTTCAATTACAGTTGACATTCAATATTTTATATTTGTTTCAGATGTACAGCATAGTGGTTAAAACAATTATATAATTTATGAAGTGATCTTCCTGATAACTCTACTTCCCACCTGGCACCATAGGTGGTAATTACAATCTTATTGACTATTTTCCCTATGCTATACTTTGCATCCTGTGACTATTTTGTAACTTCTTACTCCCTTTACCTTTTTCACCCATCCCCACACCTCCCTCCCATCTGGCAACCTTCAGTTTGTTCTGTTTTGTTTGCTCATTTATTTTATTCTTTAGATTCCACTTATAAATGAAATTATGTGGTATTTTGTCTTCCTCTGTCTGACTTATTTCACTTAGCACAATACCCTGTAAGTTCCATCCATATTGTTGCAAATAGCAAGATTTCATTCTTTTTTATGGCTGAGTAATATTCCTTTGTATATATGTACCACATTTTCTTTATCCAGTCATCTGTTGATAGACACTTGGGTTGCTTCCGTGTCTTAGCTATTGTAAATAACGCTACAAAATGAGGATAGTGGTGCATTTATCTTTTGACTTAGTATTTTTAATTTCTTCAGAGTATTTGGAGGGAAATGTCCCCAAGTTAGGCAGAGCCTGAGGTTTTTGCTTGTGGGTTTCCTGTATTCTATTTGTTTGAGTAATATAAGGCAGACAAGCCAAAAACTACCTTATGTAGCTTTATAGAACACTCTTTACTGAATATCAATTTTAATGTAAAGTAAAAGTTTCATGTAGGTTTTTAGAATGGATCAGTTAGGACTATGTACCTGGCCAATGTTTTCTTTTTTCTCTTTGTATTCACATGACCACTTTATATTGATCCTAGTTTTGATTTCCCTTTGTTATTGACAATCCTAAGTCATGTGATCTAGTTTCAGTTAGAGAATGCTCTGCTTTTGTCATTTTGGGTTGCTAACATGCTTCCAAGTCATGGGGGACTTTTGGAAATTAGCTCTCAGAATAGCTTTATCCCCTTGTAATTTCTTCTTTGGTTTCAATTTTGAAATTATAGATAATACAAACATAATAAATGGAAGTAAAGGTTCATCTCTCTCATGACTCAGTCTTTCTTAAACAACATTATTATTGACTGGCCTACTGGCTGCCAAAAAAGAAAATCAATTTTATTAGAAATACTTGCTTGACCACAGATCTTGGTTACTAACCACCTGAGACAGGCTGATGTTATCAACTATCTGAAGACTAATTTGTACTATTTGCCTGAAACCGAGTAGTAATTAGAGATATGTCACAGTCTACTCTGTGTTTTCCTGTCACTTTTACCCTTCATATACTTTATTGCCCTGCAGTTTCTATATTCTGATGGAATTGGAACTTTTAATTTTATTTCTAAGAAAGATCCTTTATAGATTTCAATTTTTATCTGGCAATATTGTGAACATTGTCTTTTCCATTGCTTAGTACTGACTTTTAGTTCAACTCTGGAAGCTAAGTTCTTAACCACATTTGAGATTAAGACAGAAGTTAAATACACACACATATACCCCACAGACCTTTTGAGTAATTTGATCTTTCAAGCTTTGGAGAAAGACTAAAGCTACTCCCAAAGCACATTAAAAAGTATTTGAATGTTGAAGACTTACTGCTATGTTTTCTCAGATTTACTGTAAAGTAACATTAAGGAAATAAGCAGGATAGAAGGAGGAGTAGGAGCATTGGTCATGAGGTGTCTACACTATGCACTGGGTGTTAGGAAATTCAGAAGGAAGTTATTTTGTTTGAGTGGTACTGAAACATTTAAGGACTCTGTGATTTATAAATTACATAAACTTATGGTTAGTGTAATGGCATAGAGCAACACAGCCTCTCTGTGAATACCTTGGTGACCATCTGTGTGTTGTAAAAGATTTCAAAAACATGAGATGTTAATTAGATTTATTGTAGTGATTATTTCATAATCTATACAAATATCATTATGTTGTACACCTGAAACTAATATAATGTTATATGTCAACTAGAGGCCCGGTGCACAAAAATTTGTGCACTCGGGGGAAGGGGGGGTCCCTCAGACCGGCCTGTGCCCTCTTGCAGTCTGGGACCCCTCGGGAGATAACGACCTGCTTAGGCCTGCTCCCGGGTGGCAGAGGGCAGGCCCAATCCCTAGGTGCAGCCCCTGGTCGGGCTCAGAGCAGGGCTGATTGGGGAGTTGGGGCGC